AAACAAAACACCCTGACCTGCACAAATGTGAAATGCAGGCCAAGCCTTGAAGAATGTCAACATGGCAGCCACAAAGCATTGGAATCATGCGCCGGTCAAACAGCACACACACACACACACACACACAAACACACACACACGCACACACACTCACACAAAGTCTAGATAAAGCGGTGGAGGAAGCAGTGGGAGTAGATAGAAAAGAAATGGGGTACAATAGGAACAATAGGAAGGCAAAGAATACAAGTTTTCAAAGTACACAGAATTCAGACATGTATATTAACTGTTTAGAGGAATGGTGCCCTTATCAACACATATTGTATGTTGCTATACAACAGAAAGCTTTGTTGTTTGTTTCGTTGTGTATGGCCTAATCCTGCCTATTTATAATGGCAGAGATACAGTGGTCCCCCTGAAGGAATGTTAATCTGCCCAAGGGTTTTGGTCAAGAGTCCAGCAGCCCAGCCAGCAAACGCCGCACAGTTGACAGGGTCGATCCAAGTACATCCCAATGCAAGCTGGCTCTTTAAGGAAGACGCAATTAATCTAAAGCCACAGGAAAGGAAAGAAATGCTATCCAGTTGCATTTTTTACAGATAGCCTCATAGTGCAACCACATAGACCAAAAAAGCGCCAGATTCCAGTGAAATGAAGCTAACTGTGAGGAAGGAAAGCAGAAGAGACTCATCAGCAAGTTTCTCCCCTGCAGCATCCGCAAGAGAAAATAACAGTCAACAGCACATAAAGAAAAATAAACACTTGTCACACTGTCAAATGGTGAAGAGCTCCCTGTGGACGGGGGCTCTGGGGTATCTTTACCATGAATTTTTATCACGGTTTAGGGAGCAGAAGGAGGTCAAACTGTGTGGACCCTGAATGACATGAAGTGAAAGAGTAGCAGAGCCTTTTATATGTTTTATTTTTATTAGCCATGACTGCAAGTATGGATCTAGACTAAAACCAGTTGAATTGCCATGAAATGTGGTATATTCATGGTGCCCAGAGGATGCGTCCAAATTGCTTTCCTGATCCCCTGACTTTTCCTTTAGTGGCACCATGAGGTTAACTTGTGGTTTTGAGTGAAAACCCTTAACAAATATTAAATATATTGTCATGAAACAAGGTAAACACATCCACGCTCCCTTCAGGATGAACTGAAATATATCTGTGACCCTTTATCTTTTTTGTCTCGTGCTGTCATCAGGTCAAAGTTGTAATTCTAGCCTCAGTTGCACTGTGTGATAGTGTTGGCGTGTTAAACCTAGGATGGTGCAAACACGTTATGATGCGGACTTTACAAATTAGTTTAAAGCATCGCTGTGGCCAAGTACAGCATGCCCACCCACACACACACACACACACAGTGATTGAGCAAGACATATTCACTGTACTTGCATGCCTGAATGGCAGGAAAATAAAGCATAAAAAATATGTTTTCTGTGTTTATAGGCGTATAGCACGAGTAAAACACAAGCCATTAAATATCACGTGTTGTCAGCTGATATTGGTTAAAATAGAATCGCATCTGTTCCATCTGACGCACATGAGACGGATGACTGACAAATGCAGCTGTAGACACGGCGTAGTCTTGTTAGCTGTGCAGCACATCGAATGACAATTCAGAGATTCAGCTCCCACGCAGCCGATCCTGTTATAGGATCATTGTCTTCCTCTTTGATGGTAAAGGGAATTGAAAATTAGTCAGTGGGAAAATAGCCGCAGAAAGTCCTCTGAGATGTAGAAATACATTATGCTGTGCACAAGACACATTGTTGAATGCAAACAAGCCGATAATGCTTTTCAATTCCAACGAAGTTCTACATGTGATTCTGGAAATGTTACAGATTAATCTTGGCAAACTTTGGCGAGAGGAGGAAGTCATTTAGGGAAAGAATTTGGCTGAAATTTAACAGGGTGTGACTGTGTCTATGTGTATCTGTCCAGATTCATTGCTGTCGTAACAATTATGGTTTTCAAAGAAGGGATGTGGTTGATAATTTGTCCGTTCTAATATGATGAACGCCGCTCTCCTTCAAAGCCCTCACCGTTTGTTTCAACTCACCCGTACTCCGGTTTGACTTATATCTGGTTTGTGTCATGCATCACATGGTCTGTGAGGCCTCTCTCATTCAATCTCAGTCTTATCGCATACACTGCTGCCTGGCCAGCACCTCACACTAACCACTGTTCATTTGAAAGGTATAGAGGCCAAGTTGCAGCCTGTTAATGAGCCATAAGAAAAAGTAGATCGAGCCTCCAATCACCAAACAGAGGTCACCACTCCCCAGTCTGTTTTATATGTTCCAACTTCTGTTTGGCAAGCAAGTTCAGAGGTCTGTGTGCCTTCTGTATCTGCCAGATATTCTGACTCTTTTAGCTGTCAACTAAATTAACTGTGTACTGATGGTGAGGTACCAGCTTAAAAGTGCATGAAAACCAAGACAAGTATAGCAGTCATGGAACAAATGTGCCACAGTTTGACTGGCACTGTATCTGCAGGTAACATACAGTTTATTTAGTGCATGTCCTGGTTGATATGGTTGATGCATACTGGAATTAGATAGCAAGTTACCAGGTGTCTGTTTTGCATCATGCATGTACAAGTAGTGGTCGTACGTTTGCATTATCGTCTCACCCTCCTCAGTATGCCTGGCTACGCTCTCTGTAGGGAGTCACAGAGTCTGTGACAGAGCAGCTGGGAGAGCTGATCTCATTAGTGGGCTGATGGGAGGATTGCAGAGCTGGGCATTCCTCTGTGGCAGCAGTGGAAGAGATGCGCAGCTTTTCATTGAGTAAAACAAAACTTGGAGAACAACAGAACTGTAGGAAAAGCAAATAACCTCCTCCAAAAGTTCTCACAAAAGTTAGTCATGAGGAAAAAGAAAGTTTATCTCTCTGTTTACGTTTCACCCACAGATCTCCAAAAGCGCCTATCTCATTGGCTTCCGAAAAATCCCGAAAAATGTCTCATCCGCTGACAATTAACTGTAATTATTTGAAGTTTAAACCGACATTCATTCCAGCACAGTATCTCTGACAGAACTGCTGAGATTGCAGAGGTCTATTTTTAACTTTTTGGCATGTTTGCTAAATTTGGATACAGATAATGACGGGAAGAGGTAGAAGGGGAAATGAAGTGCAATGTAAATCATGGCAAGGAGTCAAACTCCCTCTTGGCTCCAACAGTACACCAGCATTAATCACACCTCAAGAAAAGCCCCTTTATCCAAAAGATATGGAGTTGCTACTGCGTGCTGTGTGTGTGTAGCCTGTGTGTCTTTCCTTTGAGTGGGGCAGTTAGATGTCATCCACTTCTCAGACTGAAATCTGCGTCACTGATCAAAAGGGAAACAGGGAAGACAGGCTGACTGCATTAAGGTTGACTGTGATTATGAAGAGGGAGGCAAGGGAACAAGCCATCAGTGGACGCAGGGACACACATGCACACTCACTCACTCACTCCTCCATGTGCTGAATGTAATAAAGCTGCTGCTAAACCTGTGTAGGCTTACTTGAAGGGATTTTTTAGTTTTCTCTTTGCTCAATTATTAACAAATCCAAAATCTTTTAGTGTGAGTCTATGTTACTTTTTAAAAGAAAAAAAACCCCACAATTTTCCTTTAACAAATGAAAAGTTGAATTCAGTATCAGTTCAATACACTCAGGGACTTACTTGGTCTGGTGTGACCATTAGCTTATGTTGGCTAATGTTAGCTAATGTTACCTAACATTTCATATTGCTCAATAACTGACATTACTGTTTCAGTTCACTGGCTATCATACAACATTTAAGCTCAGTGAGGTTGCCTTATGATGTTGTTTTAAAGGGGCTATTTGTAAGTTTTCTCTGCCACTGAATGTGGTTTCTTGCAAGTGGTGGTGATTGTCGCATCCTCTGAGCAGCGCTACTTCTTCAGGGTAGATTGGAGGTTAATAAGTCGCTATTGGTCGCTAGCTAGTTAGTATGCTAACAGTAAAAGAGAAGAAGTGAAAGAAACAAGATTGAACAAGAACATTGGTGCTCTTGGTGACTAAAGGAATGAAGTTTGATGCTGAACTCACAACTTTTCTTCTAGACTGGTGAGTAAACAGCTGTTAATGCTAATGTTAGCAATAGCAAAACTTACAAATGGGCTACCTCAAAATCAAGAATCGTCCTGTCATTGCCCCTTGTGGCCACAGTGGTTGCTGTTTGGCAAAACAAAAAATACAGTCTCAAGTGAAGCTAACATGGACGAAAAGTCTTTAAAGTGCTCTGAACTACATCTGCCTAGGAAGATCCTATGATATGACAACAGATACTAAATGGATGTTATGGCGAGTATGTTTTGTCAGCAACAGAAAAATGTTTTCAGGTGTGAAATGATAGTATTGGTCAAAAATGTTATTGTATATATAGACGTGGACGTATTCTTGAATTCTTTTCTGAAATAAATCATTTCTAATGATCTTGCAACCTTCAATGAGAAAAAATAGGTCATCCATACAAAGAAAAACTTTGCTCTAGCAGTAAAATATGTATAGGTCTATAACTCTGCCATAACATGAGGGTCAGCTGGAAGAAAACCCAGCCTCCTCACTCATGGAGTAAAGCCTACTATATACCATATGCTCTAATGTGGAACATTTTTTCATTAAAAAGTTGCACCTGTTTTTGAACTTTATCATAGGGCGCTTTAAAGTTTTCTAGAGCTTTCTTGTTTTTTTTGGACTGTCTTCTTCAACATTGTTATTTTGACATAAAATTGCTTAAGGTCAAAAATGTTTTATATATGCCAGTGAAGCAGTTTCAGGTGAACTGAACTGAACGGGGTTAGGTCTTAAGGAGAAACAGAGAAAACATGAGGGTAGAGGGAAAGGGTCCATCCATATGTAGAGAGAGAGAGAGAGAGAGAGAGAGAGAGAGAGAGAGAGAGAGAGAGAGAGACCCTGAGCTGGCATGACGGCACTTGGAGCTCTGACAGGAAACTTTCTTCCTGTTACTCGGCTCTTCTGCAGAAGTCAGACCCCATCGCTTCTTCAGCTGCGGATCACCATCTGAAATGCACTTGACTGGACTCTGCGGGGTTTGCGGGAATCTCTCGTGCTGTGAAGTCATGGCTTTCCATCCTCATTTACCGACTGCGCGTCACTGAAGATAAACACGCGGGAGGCAGAGTTTCTGAGACAGACTTTGGGACTAAATGACATTTGTTTCCCTTTGAACCACACTCGGTTTGACGATGGAGACCTTATTTTACCTGCTTGCCTTCATGTTGACCCGGGTCTGTTCGGGTCTCGGATATGCGGAGTCCAGTATTCATACCGGGCAGAGAGCGGCGAGTAGACACAGGTAGGAACGACACGAACCGAATTACACGTGCGTAAGTGTCATTAGCTTAGTTTGGCTTGTTTTTGCATCAGAGAGCCGCCGTTCAAAACCTTCATGGAAAAAAGGCTTATTTGAGGTTTTCAACGGTCAGCCATTGAACTGCTGCTGTCAGTTTGGGGCTTCTGGTGGGTCAGCCTAAAATAACACATTAGTCAATTAATTGATTAGTCAATTGAATTCTGGCTTCAGCTCCTCAAATGTGAAGGTTTGCTTTTTCTCTCTCCCTGTCAAATTCATATTCAAATAAGCTTTATTGGCATGGCAGATCAGAATCCTATATTGCCAAAGCAGTACAGACAATTCTAAACTTTGAAAGATGATTGATTAATGATTATGCAATAATATGCAAATATCAACAATAATATTAAATACAATATATCTCTCCCTGCCTTTATCAATGACATTTTAATATGTTTTGGACTGTGCACAAAATGAAATTTAAAGACTTCACCTTGGAAAATTGTGATGGGATTTTTCAACATTTTCTGACGTTTTACAGAATAAATGATTAATTGATAAAAAAAAAAAATCAACAAGTTAATTGATAGGCTAATGAAAATACTTGTTAGTTTAAACCCTAATTTAAGTTAATCAACTAATTTTAATTAGATCCTTAATTAATTTAAGAAAGACAAATGACAAAAAAAATCTTTCCCTGTGGGTTGCAATTAGACAAAATCAGTTTTGATGATTGTTTGTTCTCTTGTGAGAAACTGTTGCAGATGTAAACATGATGTATTTTGTATTTTCAGAGGAAATATCAGATTTGTGAGTAGGTCTGTTACTCAGCAGGGGCCCTCCCTGCATGGGGGGTGGGGGGGCAGTGATGTGGTTGTGATGAATCAGGGGGCCCAGAGTTGGACAGGGCTTACAAGGATTATAGATATTTACTGTTTCAGGGCCCCCTAGTGTAAAGTTTTCAGGGGGCCGAGAATCTCAAGCAGTGCCCTCAGTGTCAGCCTCATTGGAGGGGGATTTATCTTCCTTGCAGTCAGGCAGAGGTGAATGAGCTGCTGTGTCTCAGGGGTAGTGAACTTCGTCTGGACATCACTTCTCCAGAAGACTGATTCTGTATAATAAGTGAACTTTTTCCACTAAATCTCATCTTGAAATTTCCACTTGAGTGATTCAGATTTACTACCATCTTGTCCTGTTTTATGGGACAGTGAGGAAATCATTTACATCTTAGCAACTGTTGATTAATAGTCACTCATAAATCAGTGATGGCTGCTGGACGCTCCACTCATAAAGCTGTGAATATTGTAAGCCAGCCAACACGTGTATGTTTTTATTGTGCTGTTGCAGCCACACACTGTGTTATTAGCATGTAATTGAGCTTCTGCCGGAGGGGCCCGTGTGTGGACGACCCCCTCACCTCTATGGACAGATGTGTGTGTGCGTGTGTGTGACTTGTTTTTGGCAATTTCAATGACTATGTGTGTGCATATATGAATACAAGAGATCACAACAGAATGTCTGAGCGAATGAATGACAGAGCTCTGTCATATAGTGTGTGTCTGCCTGCATGTGTTTGCACTTAGCGTGTGTGTATGCAGGGCAGGCCAGGCTTCTGGGAGTTGAGCTCCTGCAATATGAGCTTCGATCGAGTTTGTCTCCACATCACAGCACAGTCTGCTGCTGCTGCTGCTGCTGCTGCCGCTGCTGTGGCTGCCTGAGTGATGAGATATGGATGGCTGGCCTCTCTGTCGGTGGATGTTGAAGCCGAACTGTTGACTACTGTGAATGAGAGGCACACAGAGAGGAGGACACAGGGTGAAACACAGAGAAGAAAAAAGAAAAATTTTGATTGACGAAACGGAAGTGAGAGATAAGAAGTCAAAAGAGAGACAGATGAATAGAAGAGAGGGAAATAGATAAAGTATCTGGTTGAGAGAGAGCAAGATAAGTGAGCTGAAGATAAGACAAAAAAAGAGGAAGAAAAAAGATGAGGAAAACTGGCAAGAGAAGAAAAAAGAGAGTAAAAGAAACAGAAGATCTGGAGAGAATTGAGAGAACCCGAGCAGGCGAGACAAGAGACGATGAAAGAGTGAGAAAAGACTGGGAGCAGTGACCCAACAAGAGCAAAGACAGACTGTCAGGAGCGCAGAAGTGGGCCAGGGTCCCTTAAATGCTTCGCTCCTGCTGAAACCAGTAAGCTATGAAGGAGTCAGCATGGCGGGCCTGTGGCATACACACACACACATACACACACATACACACAAAAACCACACACGCATTCAAAGTGACGCAACGGGGAGAAGAATGCGCTGGCCCAGTGCAATGCGGTTTGCCCCTTTGACATCTGTTTGAACTCAATTGATCTGTTTTGACAGATGTGTGAAGTATTCGATAAGTGTTAAAGGCTGTTAAATGAACTGAAGACATCCAGCAGGGGTCTTATGGGCGGGGGGGTGGGGGGGTCAGGAGGACCCGGAGCTGTCTGACACATCTTCTGCCAAAATGTTACACGTCACCCGACAGTGATAGAGGGAGGGAAGAGAGAAGGAGCAGTGTGTTGATGTGTCCGTGTAGATGCAGGTGGGCTGCTGATTTGTTGCAGCTCGCGTTCAGTTTAAAGGACAAAACATTAGATCACCACTGGAGGGAAGCAAGGAGCAGATACAGATGCATGCTTCATCATCATCATCATCATCTCTTTGTCATCTCTGTGTATGATTCATCATACTTAGCTTCCTACTTATTAGGGTGCTCACTGCAAGGGGCCATAAAGGTAGACAAATGCACTGTCCTCTTATTCAGTCTAAATATGTCCAGATGTTGTGTTGACATCAATTTATATGATAAACTATAAAAAAAGTAACAAAAACTTAATGTTCTGGGATATTTAGTAATGCAAGTGCACTATATGACTAAATGTGGACAGCCTACATACAGTTTTTGAATTTTACGTGCTAACTCATATGATCATAGATAATAGCGTGCTTTATTTGATTTTCCCAGTTGGGTTCGGAAAAAATTGACAGACCTCAACCCCATCCTACACCCAAAGTCGGTGCCAGACTAGTCCTGACTGTGTACTACATATCATGATCCTGTATGGATATCTGCTGGAACTTCAAAGTGACAGATCCACTCATAACATCTATTACTGAAAAAATTTGGAAAATAAAAATCATCTTATAGATCTAAAAGCTAGTGAAAGATGTCATCAGGTGACTGTGAAGTAATAAAAAACATGGTTTATCCACACTGAGAAAGGAGAAAGTTCTCTTCTATTAAAGACAATACAAGTCATGTAAAATCAAAGATGGCGCAGGACACTGACTGAAGACAGAGGAATCAGTCATTTCTTGTTGTTTCTGTCAGATATAATATCGTTTTTTTTATTTCTTTACAGACCCCTGATGTAGTTTTTTTTCCCAGCATCAAGATTTCCTGTCAGTTTATATTTTCAACATTGAGTTTACACAGAGTCTAAGTTCTGTAAGTTACTCATGCAGGACTGTGATAGGTGATATATGGTCCTTACTCCGGCCTGTGCCCTGCCTCAATAACGCTCCTGTGTATGTAATGGGAGCAAGTCCCTGCAGCCAGGTTTCAACAGACTGTGGAAAGCCTTCTCAGGAGGGTGGAGGCTGTTACTGCAGCAGATTAATGGCCATGGTTTCAGGAAGAGACGGTCACCACGCAATTATGGTGTGAGTCCACATTCTGTGTTCGGGTGTCCATATACTTTTGGCTATATAGTGTAAATACTACACATTTAGCTTCTGGAGCTCATTGATTAGGACATGCATGTTATATTTTTTGGATAGATGCCACTGGACTTAAGGAGAACATTGAAAAAGTCCGTGCAGAAGCTGTAAATAACTGCGTTCCAGCCTTGTGTTGATGTGTACTGGTGTTTATTTCTTATTCCTGTGGATAATGGAGATATCAATCTTAAACACCACATTTCACTCTCAGTCCTTTAGCATTAAACAACAAGGGCTTCTTTGTGCTGCTGCATCACAACATCACAATCATAAGGAGGAATCGATCAAAAAAGAGGCACAAACAACGAAGCTACAAGATATTCTACTCTTGATATTTCTCTCTACCTACACACAGTATAGAACCAGTGATACGTTGTTCATGCTGCTTCTGACGTCGAAAGGAACTTGGGGAAATGTAAAAGGTCATAACAAAATAACTCATCAAACATCAGCATTTCATATAGTCTAACGGTGCCAGAGTATCTAAGGACTGGGATTGAAATGAAATCCAAAAAAGTCAGTTTGGACTCAGAGAGAGAGAGTAATTGTCAGTAATTTAGCTTCTTTTAATAATTGCCCCAGAGCACGCTGTTCACCCCCAATGCCTCCAGTGCAGCAGAAGTAGACTGTGGTTGCACTGTGTTCTGTTGTAGTTGCTTAGCATTTTGCTTGCATGTGAAATCTAATGTTGCTAAGTTTCAAAGCCTTAAAATTCACCTCTAAACTATCAGAGGGAAAATAGTGGCATCTAACCATTATCTCAAGAATTAGATTCCCCAACAACTGGCCGTTATGAGCTTGTGATTTATACATTTTTTTCCATTATTCAAACCCTCTGACGTAGAGTTGTAAACTAAAAGAACTTGTTATGAAGTGCTCTTTGATCTGACCCTAATACAGTTGTACAAGAGTGAACACTGGCTGTGACTGATGGGGTCTATCTGCACTTTAGGTCACTTATCTCAGCTCTATTTTTTGGCTTCAAACATCAAGACTAAACAACTGTTGGTTAGTTTTCCCTCTAGGACCACCAAGAAGTTGAAATGTGATATTTTGACTTATTTTGATTTGTGGTTTTTAACTTTGATGATCCCGTCCTTTTTCATGTATCACCACGATCAGGTCAAATTTTTAGTTCGTCCAATTCTTTGGTTTATGACAAAGTACCTGCTAAAGTAATGACATTCCCATCAGCCTCAGCTGTAAATGTTTATCTAACATGTTAACATTATACCTGCTAAACAT